ATATATAGAGAGAGAGAGAGAGAGAGAGAGAGAGAGAGAGAGTTAACTCTAGTAACTATTCATCTGGACTGTATGCAAATGTGCATATAAATAACTGAAACTGTTTTTCAGTTTTATGCATATGCGCATATCGGACTAATTGATTTCAAATTACTTATATGCACATATGCATACCGTTCAAATGAACGATTATTATGGTGTTCTTCAGTTTTTCATTTTTTTTGCGGTTTCTCTAAACATTACCTTCTATATAATCAGGTTTTTACTAGAAAAATGACTTCTTCGTGGAATTTTCCAATATAAAATTATCCGCGAATTACCGACATAAATTAAAAAAAAAAGTCAAAATACCTTGACTTCCGTTAGAAATTCGTCGGTAAATATTTTAAAAAGGAGAAAAAAAATTATTCCGACCAGTTTTCCGACAGATTACCGACAGATTAATTTAAAAGTTTATTTATTTTAATTAATAAAAACACTTGTAGATGTCGTTGCGGATTTTAATTAATTATTTTTTAAATCAAACTTCACCAGTAATTTTAATTAATTATTTTGTTTTTAGTTTCTTTAATAAAAAAATATATATATTAAATTACATATAGAGAGAGAGATAGAAAGAGAGGAGAGATTTAAACCAAAATACAATCAAAATAATAAAATAAGAGAATATATCTTAACCTCTCGTATCATTTAATCGATGGTTGAGAAAAAGATGGCAATGTCGTAATTTAGGAAAAATTAATGGCATTTAATTAAAAGGATAAAGGACCTCTAAAGGGTAATATTGGAATAGGAAATCTATTTTTCTAATTAATTAGGTGAGGATATATTAGCAATTTGAGATATCATATCATATTATAGAGGTGTTTGAGATTGCTTATAAAAATAATTTATTGACTTGTTTCGGTATGGCACCGATAATAAACATTTTTGAGTGTTTTGATAAACAACTTATACCGAAATCAAACCATTCTAACTTATAGTAAATTGATAAGAACTTTTATAAAAAAACATAAATTGTTTCAAATAAGCAATCTCAAACACCCTTTATATATGGTTTCGACTACGTACCATCTATTAAAATCAACCCACTTTCTCAAAGTCATCATTCAATGGTCGCAGCTACACCTCCAGAATCATCTATCACCTTCATCGTGGCGGGAGGATGCGGTACTCATCCACCTCACTATAGATTTTTTCAATTACAATTTCTAAAATTTTATATTATATTTGTATTAAATTCACATCTTTTTCAATGAATATAATCTTATTAGATTCATTTTTTTGTATTTTACGTCGTTGTTAATCACATATGATATTTAAAAATAATACATATGATAGTTATTTTTAAAAATCACGAGTGATATTATGTGATACCGGTTATGTATTTGTGTGTTTTACCTCATAGCAAATAACCAGTGATTCAAAACGTAAAACAACAGTGATTTGAAATCATGAAAAATGAAACGATGGAAAAAAGAAAATCATATATAATATGTATAAGATCACATGTGATCCAATACGTGTAATAAAAAAAATCCTAAAAAACCAGTATAAAAAGGTCAAAAAAACTATAAAAGCAGTGAAACTTGTTCCGAAAACAATTATGGATGAAAAAAATTCAAATAATAAAATTGGGTTAAATTACCATAATTTAAGGATTGGGTTAATTAACTAAATAATGTTATAAATATAAATTACCTTAATGTCCCCAAACTATTTAAATTTTCTTCTTTTAATAGTAATCCTAGATAAGATGATGTGGCGGTTTATTATGTATTCTCTTATTTTCTTAAATAAATATTATTCTTATATGAACCCGACACTCTTATATATATATATATGATCATTTTTTTGTGTCACCGTCGGTGCTTTTTATGATGTGGGACACAAGTTAAAGTATATTGATTCCATTTGTTGAAAGAGTTTAATATACCTTTGTACATAGACAAAGGATGGTAATTAGATTTACATTGAAAGCAACATAAAGTGGTGTGAAAATACCTTAAACCGAAGGTACTTCATTTTTTTAAGATTGATCCTCGAGCTCTAAGCATCCTTTTGCCTCAAATAATCCTATAAATATGGAGGTTTCCAATGGCAATAAGCATCAATTCAATACATTGATAGAGAAAAACCGATCAATATACCTTTAATTTCTGTTGCAAATTTAGTCCAAGATTTTGAGAGTTTATGCAATGGCTCGGTCGATGGTCTTTCGTGTTACRATATTAATTGTGTTGTTCGTGGCAATTGGTGAGGCGGCAACTCCACCAGGAATTGCATACCACCCGAGTCATGCAAG